CACGCAACGCACACATGCCGGCCGGCCGGCCGACTGGCTCGTCATTTGAACGAGGGCCCGAGTGTCGAACGCAGGCGGCAGGGTGATGATGATGCTTCCTCTTTTTACGATTGGTGATTGCTTGCACCGCTTCACCGCTTGACAATCACCTTACAGCACCTCCACATGGCCTACGCGGGCGCGTACGTTGGGATCACGAGCCGACGACTGCATACATCACTCACTCTCGACTTGAAGGGGCGTGCGGGTGCTCTCTCTGTACGCTGCTGCACTGCACCCTGCTGCTGCCGCTCTGCAAGCGCAGGTGCTGACGATTAGCTGCACGTACAGTACCGTATATATATACTTTTTCGCGCTGATGCGGGGTCAGCGACACCGTGCTGGTTGGTGGTGCGACGTTTGGCCGCCCGCCGTGAGCGCCCTGCTTGAGTCAACGCCGCGGGACGTCGGGGCACAGTCAAAAGTCGTGAATCGTAGGTCGTGAGTCGTGGGTCGTGATTATATGCTGTCCATGGTTGCAGCGCTCGCTAAGCCATCACTGACACGCTATACAGCACCGTATCCGTATATACAGTCAAGAGTCACAGTAGAGCATGACTGAGTGACTCGTGACTGCATGCTGATGCTGCCTGCTGGATTCCAATCGGATAAGCGCCGCCGCTCGAAGCTTCGTTGGGCGCGCGCGTCCACTCAAGACTCGGGCTGACTGTGCGGCAGCAGGCACACCAGGAGTGTCACCACGCGCGGCGACCTGCTTGTCATACCAAACAGTACCGACTCTAGCGCAGTGTGCGTCGCAGCTGCAGCACGTACGCTGATGCTGCTGATGGCAAACTTTCTTCACGTCAGCAGGCGTGCACCGCACCGCTCAGCATATTCACGATCATATGCAACGTGATGTTGCTGATGACTGCCAAGGACGCATACATGCTAGCTGACTGATCGACTCGAAGTGTGAAGGAGGTAAAGTTGAATGTTGGCTTCATCACACTCCTGCGCCACCTTCTCTTTTTCACTTGTCACGCATACCACACCTTGTCGCTGCCTCTGTTCATTCAACCTCGAAGCTCAGGCGTGAAACCAAGCTGGCATCGCCATCCACAGCGACACAAGGCCAGCCCTTCCTCAGACTGGTGCTCCGTCCCTTGCAGTCTGACGTTGCATCTCGTTGGTCTTTCAAACTCGACTGGCTGTCCTCATGGCTACTACAATCACTTCTGCACACGTGCTAAACGAGACGGCGAATGGCCAACATGCGGCTGAAAGCAGCGCCATGGGCTTGCAGAGGAGCATAGAGTCGAGTGCAAGGAAGCCGGTCACTCGTGGTCAGAAAGCTGTTGCCGCTTGCTCAGGCGCTGTGCTCACCAGCTTGACAAGTGAGTACGCTGATTCATTGGGCATGCTTCGGAGCGGGCATTTGCTCAAGCAGGCCGTTCCCTTTGCAGTGACCCCTTTCGATGTGGTCAAGACGCGCCTGCAGACGCAGGCGGCTGTGGAGCCGCTATTCGTGCCATCCAACAGACTTTCACCCATAGGGCCACCGGCCTCACCCTTGCCTGGGCCGAGCTCCCGTCTAGCCACTGGGCCCAGTATCAGCGCATTGCGGTCCGCCCCCTCCAATCCTGCCACTTGTTGCCACGCCACATTCTTCACCTCGAATGGCGATGCAGCTCTGACCTGCGTCCACGACCCACGAGTAGTCGTCGGACCTTCAAGGGGCGGTGCAGGAAGCAGCTCAGTCACTATGCGACCTTCCAAACATCCCAGCACGGGCACCGACCTGGTACACAACAATAGCCGGTCTGTACGGAGCACAGGCCAAACGGCCCGCTACGCTCGTGGTGCCAGTAGCAACGCAGGGATCGCACAGCATGCTCGCAACTCAGCAACCATATGTGCCTTTCCGGACCGCGGTGAAGCGGTCAGGCAGCTGGAACATAGTGCCGGCGATAGGAGGCTCACTGGGCTCGCGGACGGAATGATAAAGATATGGAGATTAGAGGGCGCAAGAGGGTTATGGAGAGGTCTAAGTCCCACGCTGTAAGTACTGGCACCCTCACATCAGAGCATTCTGGAAATGCCGCTCACCTTATCGTATCATTTCACTTACAGACTCATGACGGTCCCAT